CAAATGATCAAAAGCAGTGAATAACAAGTATAGTGTCTCATTGCTGTGCACCTAGCGCTTCAACGCTACACCTGGCACCTCAGCGCTACGCAAAACTGGGATTTCGTGACAATTTCCTATTTTGACATAAATTCTTCTTGAATTGTAATCTTGATGGGATTTTCAACCTATTTTCGAACCATATAAATACAGAACATAATCATACATTAGGGGAGATCATCCTCTAATATTCATCAATTATCATATCAAAAGGGGGGCCAAATCATTATTCCTTTGGAAGAATCAAGAAACAATTGCAAGAATTCAGTACTTTGAAGATTCAGGGTGTGTTTGAGCCACATTATTTTGAAAAAATGTATTTTGAAATAGTAGATTGATGAAAAATGTGTGGTTGAAAAAGAAGGAAACGTTATTGATGTGATGGAAAATATTATTTTATTGAAAAATGTGTGGTTATAGATTGAAATTTAAATTTTAATCTAAATCAAAGTTAACAATTAATTTTAGGGTGTGTTTGATGGATATTATTTTGGAAGAATGTATTTTGGAATAGTAGATTGATGGAGAATGTGTGGTTGAAAAAGAAGGAAACGTTATTGATGTGATGGAAAATATTATTTTATTGAAAAATGTGTGGTTGAAAATGAGTAAAAGAATGAAAATGAAAATTTTAATGTGGATCAAACATGAGCTCAATCTTTATTTTGGACAAAGAAGAGAACACAACTGGAATTCATCAAGAATTCATTGGGAATATTCAAGATTTCAAGATTTGTCCTATTTTCTACATTCGACTAAAAATCCGGGCGATATTTTATAATTTAAACATGAATTCTTATAACTTTGTGGTGCTAGGCTAAATTTTTTTATTAGTAGGGCATTGATAAACCTTTATTATAAAGTTTTTACGATAATTTCAATATTTTTGACGTCCAATAAGTCGAGCGGCTCGACTTGACCTGACCATTTTAACCCCCCTACTTCACACAGATTATGCATTCTTGAGTTGGATCAAGAATAAACTTGACCTGACACGACATTTATTACTCCGTGAAACTTTTGTATTTTAAACATTGTTATATAACGATATTTTATGCTATAATACAACTTAAAACTAAGAAAATAATCATGTTCATGAACTCCAAGTGAACTCCTAGGAGGAATTTTTCTTGGACGAGGTCTCTAAATTTGGAAAAGGACGTTCCATATATGATGTCCAGCTTGTGAGGACCTCAAAATACGGCAGCTTTTGGTTGCACCCAAACTTGTGTGGCTTCTAAGCTCTCAAGTGCACCCTTTATCATCATTGAAGAATCATGTGACGAAAATTTATATGAAAAGAATATTCATGTCACACTCACATTATTCAACTTATTTGTGCATTATTTTTCTTACACGACAATTTGTGAAGATATAGGTTGACCTTAAGATTTTGCAAGACTAAGATATTAACATATTTTAGCCACCTCTATCTCCACATGTAGCTAAATTATATTTTTCTTACACGACAATTTGTGAAGATATAGGTTGACCTTAAAATTTTGCAAGACTAAGATATTAACATCTTTTAGCCACTCTATCTCCTCATGTAGCTATATTTATGATTTAAGGGCTATTCTTATACTTAATTATGCTCTTCTACTTATACAATTGTTAATCTAATCCTCGTTTTCTATTGAGTTTTCTTTATTTTTGTTACTTTTAGGAGATGAACTTGAGTTTGGGCAAAAAATGAAGAGTCGAGTATTAAAAGATGGAAGCAGAAGATGATTCGAAGATTAGATGTGGGTGCAGGATGCTCGATGATCAAAACAGGAACGAAAAAGAGCCTCGAAAGGAACCCAAAAATTAAGGCATCTTCTGACCTCATTCTAGCAACTTCTAGAATTCCCTTGCTGGAAATTTTCCTAAACAAGGGGCAATTTCAGCATTTGGCCACGAATTTCAATAGCATTTTGAGGCATTTTATGCCACACTTTTCTAGGGAAACAAAAGGATAGTATAAAATGACTTTTTGGGGATCAATTGAGTGGAAAATTTGAACAGTTTGGAGGCTCAACGAGAGGAGAAAAAGGGAAAAGAGCACGAGAAATATTGAAGAAATTTTGGTGAACAAGATGATCAAATAGAGATTTCACTTCGAAATTCCATTCACGTAACGAGTTCTATAGGATTTCTTTCATTTTATTTTCTAAATTCCCTAAATTTGGAATGTAAGCTCTTTTCCATTTTGTTATTCTTTCATTATGGTCCAAGGCTTTTACGTGTTAGGATGACGATGTAAACTTATTTTGAAATTGTAGTTTTTATCCTGATCTTGTTCTACCTGTTAAATATTTGCTAGTTACTTGATTATTTGTTTTTGTGTTAATTATTTTCCTACTATGTGGCCAATTATAAGATATATTTGAGAATCACATTGAGATTGATAAGTGAAATGTATTTAGCGCTCTTAACGAGTAGTATAGATTTTGATATAAAGTTAATAGAAATATAGCGTTATGATCTATGCGATCATTGATGGAGTGCTTAATGCATTATTTTGTGTTATAAATCCGCATAAAAATTTAAACATCACAATAGGTTCGACTCTACTCGAAAGAGATTGTCGAATAATGAAGAGGAACTAGTCGTTAACACAAGCAAATATGGAATGAAACTTGATTATATAATTAAAGTGGATAATTAAGTGGATTCAAAGTCCTAATACTTTCTCAAACCCAAATTTCCTTTTTTTTTTTTTAAATTTATTTGTTGCTTTTCACCCAAGTACTTTGTTAGAATTACCAAATCAATTTATGTGTCCTTAACAATTTAGTCAACTAGTATTAAATCACTTAACACAAGTAGTCGTGGGTACATTCGTTATAAGTGAGATTTCGAGTAAGTGTTTGTACACAGGGGCGAACGCAAAACTTAAAAGTTAGGGGTTACAATTGAACTTGCAAAGAAATTGGGAGAAATTTTACAATCGAAAATTTACGTCCAAAAAAATCATACCCCATGTAATTTTGCATCCGAAAATTTACATGAGATGTGACTTTTTAAGATGTAAAATTTCGAAATTTTTTTATGTCATATTCTATATAAAATTTCCTAATAAAATGATGAAAATTACATTGAGAAATTTGTAGTGCAAAAATAATAAATATTAATGAAATAATTGAATTTTTTTAAAAGAAAATGCAAGTTAAACGTATTTCTTTAAAACTCATGTTTAACGCAGTTTTAACTATTTTCGATATCTGTTTGGATTATTTGATATGCTTATAAGTAGTTCTTGAAATAAGTTTTGAGATGACGTAATCAATTTGTAAATTCGATTAGCGTACAATCGTCGAATAATTTTTGAAATTAGCATATTATCGAAATTTTTGAAATACTAATTTTGAATGGCTTACTTTGACAAGTCACGGCATTTGCTACGATTGATCGTTTCGTACACCATTAACGACGTAGAAAACTAGATCGTGAACACTTCAAAATGGTATTAAGAATGTAATATTTCGCCCTTATTTTATGGTGAATTAAGATTTTGTTAAAAGACGAGAGAAAAAGAGAAAAATTAAAATTTATTGTGATTTTGCCCATATTTGATGGAGATTAAAATCAAATTTTTAGTAAATTTTGATAAAAGTTAAATAGTTATGGATTCCATGAAATATGTTATTAAAATTAATTATTAACTTTGATTTAAATTAAAATTTATACTTCAATCGATACCAAACATGATTTTATATTAAAAGAAAAAAACTCAAAAGTTGGCGTCGCCCCAGGACCACCCCGAGTCCGCCCATGTTTACACATTCTTTGCTTGCCTTTTGCCTATAGAATTCTTCAAACACTTGAAAACCATGCTAGAATGGATAGTTAATCCACTTATTTCACATTCTCACCTCATGTGAATGTGGCTATCACTGCCTTCACCCTTGTTTGGCCTCCATTAAATTAAATTTCATTACATTATATTAATTTTTTTTCTCTCTTCATTTTAACCACACATTCATCAAATAAAATAATATTACACACAAGTCAAAAAATTTTCAACCACACATTCTCCTATCAATCATTATTCTAAAAATTTTCAACCCTCCAAAAATGCAAAATAATGGGGGCCAAACAGGGGCTTCGTAAGATCCACAAATATAATTTTTTTTTTTCGAGATCAGTGTATGCTATTTTTAAAATTGAATCCATATTTGTAGTAACCTAAAATTTATATATATAACAATTTTATGATATTTAAAAATAAATAAAATCTTAGTGTTGAACGTTGAGTACAACTGGTTGGTATGAATTACTGGTGTGGCACTAGAAATTACAAATAATAAAGAGATTGTATCAGAATTTGTTTGTAACAAAACAGAAATTGTATCAAACTTCTTAGAGCACACAACAGGAAGTGTGAAATGTATTTATGCACCTGTTCGGTGCAGATTAAAATCAGTTTTTAGTAGATTTTGATAAAAATTAATGAAATATGTGATTGAAAAGTTGTGGGTCCCATAAATGTGAGATTAAAATTAATTGTTAACTTTCATTTAAAACTTCTAGTAGATTTTAATCTAAATCAAATAAGGTTACATGAATCATACATTCATCGTACTTCTTGTCGTTTTGTTTTCGGAAATGGAAACAAAGCAGTCCATGGATCAAGCTACTCTTGTTCCACATTTACATAGGTGGAGTTGGATTTGTTGTATTTAACATTTTATCTAGCCAATGATTCGTTGTTCCATATTTGCACTTAATTTTTCAACGTCTTAACAAATTCTGATCCTCCCATGTACGGGGATTTTGGCTCCGAAACTCAAGGGAGGACAGTTCTTTCCCTTTGACAACTGAAAAATACCAACACATTCCTATAAATCTCTTGCAGCAGACCCCACAACATAAAAAACCAGAACCTCTGATAAATCCTCTCTCTCCTTAAACATACATAAATTTCATCAAGTTGCATTTATCAGGTTTAAAAAACTAGGATAGCTTGTCACAAAAACATGGCAGTCATGAGGTTGTTGCCATATTTTAAGGTTCGTGGCTTGGCCTTGATGATCGTGATGACGTGTTGCATGTTCTTGTTCTCGACGAACATTGTAGAGGGTGTTGTAGGCATAAATTGGGGTAGAATGACCACAAACAGACTGATTCCATCCATGGTGGTAGATTTGCTTTTACAAAATGGGATTCGTGAAGTGAAAATGTTCAGCGCCAGTAAAAATGTCCTGGAGGCCTTTTCCAGGAGCGGAATTGAAGTCACCGTTACAATTCCTAATCAGAACCTCAAATATCTGCTAGACCCTAAAGCTGTCAGAAGATGGATTAACCAGCGGATTATCACTTTCATAAGAGACGAAGTTGACATAAGGTAATTTTTTATCGTTATTTTTCATTTTCTCGTCTTCAATTTTAACATGTAAATTTTTTCAGATTTTAATCCATCTTTAGGAGCTTTTACAGATATGTCTGTGTCGGGACGGATCCATATTCGAAAGCATACAACAATTTAACCTTTTATTATGCATCTGATGTGTTGAAAATAGTTCAAAATAGTCTCAATGATGCTGGTTATGGAGAAAAAGTCAAAGCAATAATTCCACATTTCTTTGATGTCCTAAACACGAATGTGTCGAAACCATCAGAGGCAGATTTTCGGCCTGATATAAAGGATATAATGATGGATTTAGTACGTTTCCAGAGAGAAAACAATGCTCCTTTTTTCATGGACGTCTTCCCCATCTACTATGTTCACCTAAAGGGATGGGACCCTGAATTTGCTTATCTTGATAACAAATCGAATTTCTCCATCGTGGACAATAACGGCCTAAAGTACACGAATGCATTCGATTTCCTTCACGATTCATTCCTTTGGGCAGTCAGGAAAGCCGGGGTGCCTGATATGAAACTGGTGGCGGGACAAGTTGGGTGGCCAACAGACGGCTATCCTAATGCGAGTCCTGAAAATGCCGAGCGGTTTTACAAAAACTTCCTGCCCTCTGTCACCAGCAACCGAGGTACCCCACTGCAGCCTGGAGCCCCTATCGACATATATCTGCATAGCCTATCTGATGAAAACTTGCTAAAAATCGACAGGGGCGCATTCCAACGCCACTGGGGGATTTACAGATTCGACGGCGTGCCTAAATATAAGATTGACTTCACCGGACAAGGGCATGATATCTTCCCAACCACGGCCCGAGGAGTGACCCGCATGCCGCAGCGATGGTGCATATTCAACGGAGACGTCAACAATATCACTGCATTGAAAACTGAATTCGATAAGGCATGTCAGAAAGCAGATTGCACCCCTCTGGCGCCTGGAGGATCCTGCAGTCACCTGGATTTTGAACACAATATTTCTTACGCATTCAATATGTATTTCCAAATGACGGGCCAGTATGCCGAAAATAAATCATGCAGTTTTCAGGGTTTAGGCAAGGTGGTTCCTGATAATCCATCAATTGGCACATGCGTTTTCCCTGTGGAGATATTGGCTGCTGAAGAAGCCGTTGCTGGAGTATCATTTGGAGCTGCACTTTTACATGCTACAAGTGGAGAAATGATTCATAGAGTTTGTAGATTAGCTATGTTATTACAATTTCTTTTTGTATTTATCTTTCCATTAATTTAGGATCATGTAATTGTGTAATCAAACGACATACCAAAAAGCTATGTTATTACCATTTCTTTTATTATTTATCTTGCCATTAATTTAGGATAATGTAATTGTGTAATCAAACAACATACCAAATTGTACTTACACATTTTTAACCTTGCATTTAAAACGCAGAGCAGAATGAAACTTCTGTCATTTGTTTTCTTTTCCGTTTCCAATATCACTATCATCCCCAGCACCAAAGACGAAAAATCCGCCTATGAATGTATTTAAGTTTGCTCCTGAAATATAGGATTTGAAGTATTAATATACATGATTGTTTGGTTATCTTAAATTTCCAAGTGAAGTGCGCAAAGGCAAATTATTTCTCGAATAATGCTGCTTTACCAAGGCCACGTCAGCCCTGTTAGTGTAGCAACATTGTTCTCTAGTGGTTAAAGATGGTATGTTGCACAAGAATGAGCTGTCTAGGAAGACATTAGAGCTTGTTAGCACATATTTTTTAAAATCATTTTTCTCAAAAACCACACATTCTATGAAGTCACAACTTTTTCCACTTTATAGTCCCCTATTCTCAAAAAAAAAAAAAAAAAGAAAGAAAGAAAGAAAGAAAAAAAAAAGTAGAAAAATATGCACCAAACAAGGTTTTAAAACTGTCTAACGTATCAGCCAATTGTCTTGCAAAATCGACCCTAAATGTATCTTATCTTGAAACCTTTCAATAATTGCCTCAAAAGTTGTGCACCTATCAAGGCAATTTTTGTCAACAAAGTTGGTTTTATTTGACACTTAACCCTTGTTTGGGCTCTATTTTAACAAAAAAATATTTTTTTAAAACTCAAGCTATGTTATTACCATTTCTTTTAGTATTTATCTTGCCATTAATTTAGGATCATGTAATTGTGTAATCAAACGACATACCAAATTGTACTTACACATTTTTAACCTTGCATTTAAAACGCAGAGCAGAATGAGACTTCTGTCATTTGTTTTCTTTTCCGTTTCCAATATCACTATCATCCCCAGCACCAAAGACGAAAAATCCGCCTATGAATGTATTTAAGTTTGCTCCTGAAATATAGGATTTGAAGTATTAATATACACGATTGTTTGGTTATCTTAAATTTCCAAGTGAAGTGCGCAAAGGCAAATTATTTCTCTAATAATGCTGCTTTACCAGGGCCACGTAGGCCCTGTTAGTGTAGCAGTATTGTTCTCTAGTGGTTAAAGATGGTATGTTGCGCAAGAATGAACTGTCTAGGAAGACATTAGAGCTTGTTCAATCATGCTACATGTACATAATCATTCACACAATCTTTTACACCCCCCTCACATGGAGGGGGGGTCTCACACACAATAAAATATTCGTGCACACTATTCATGTGAGAAAGGTGTACGTATACCTGGTGTACAAATCGACCCTAAATGAATCTTATCTTGAAACCTTTCAATAATTGCCTCAAAAGTTGTGCACCTATCAAGGCAATTTTTGTCAACAAAGTAGGTTTTATTTGACATTTAACTCTTGTTTGGGCTCTATTTTAATAAAAAGTTATTTTTTTAAAACTCATTTTCAAACACACGTTCTTTCATAAATAATTTTATATGTTAATTTAAATTTTTATTTTTTATTTTTTAATCATATATTTTTCAAAAAAACTTCATTCCAAAATATAGTTTTCCAAAAACCATGAGGATCAAAGGGGGCTTAGGCTTAACATGTAAAAGTGACAATTTTCCTCATTTTCCCAAAACGTGGCCATTTTTTTCCTTTCGCAAAAGAAAGGGCCTGACACATAAAGCCCAAATCAAGTTTTTAGATTTTAACACAATGGTCACGTGTAATCATTGTATCATTAATATCAAAAAATAGGTGACAAATAGAGTGACATAATAGGTGTTTGGGATATATGATTAGATGAAAAAGTTGACTGTCTTTTGAACAATTCAATAATAGACCGTCATTTGATATTATGTTAAAAATTATATCAACCACTATGTTTATGTAGCATTATTGTAACATCATAGGGCTTTAACTCTGTTTTCAACAAATTATAAAGGATCAACATAACTTATTTTAAAGTTACTCTCAAGAAGACTTACATTGTACTCAATACAAATTCTTGTGGATGATCTAGTGGGAGACTTATCTCGTGATATTTCTTTTGAAGATGCAAGAATTTGTAATAATTGACTTCTATGATCAAACTGTTAATTTATGTACTCTCTAATCTGAGAGAGTATAGCTCATATTACCCCTTTCGAATTTCTTTCACGTTCTCAAAATTTGAATACATGATCTCTTCTAAAAGTCTCTTTTGAGGGAGGTCATGCATTCGAATCCTAAAGACACGATAAAAATTCATAAAGGATAAGATAGACTAAGCTCTCTCAGAGCTGACAGTATGTAAGTTAACAATTTGGACATTTGACATGTGTCAACTGCTAACCTCTCCTTCGGCAACACATAACTCAGGAATACAACACGATCAGTCAAGAACGAACTCTGTTTCACTGCAGCATAAAAGTGATCACTGCAAAGAACTAAAAGAACTACTCGAAGGAACAGGAC